GCTGATCCTAGGGCCGACTCGCTTCACATAAGCTACGCAGCCAAATGTGCGAAGATGCTTGACTCCCGGTTTCTTGCCATACCAAACTTCATACGGTGTCTTGCCACTTAGGCTCTTCGTGGGCGATCGGTTTAACAAATAGACTGCCACCCGGATTGCTTCTCCCCAAAAATGAGCTGGAACGCTCATGCTTTTCAGCAAACACCGTGCCATCTCGACTACGGTCTGATTATGTCGCTCCACTACTCCATTCTACTGTGGAATATACGATGTGGTCGTATTGTGCTTGATCCCATGATCCTGGCAAAAAGTCACAAACGCGCCGGAATTAAATTCCCCACCACGATCTGAACGGAATGCTCTGAGCTTGCTCCCTGATTCCAACTCCACCGCCGTCTTGAACCTTTTGAAGTACAACAGTGCTTCATCTTTGGTGGCCATCAGTTCTAGCCACATATAGCGGCTATGATCGTCGACGACGAGGAGGAAAAACGATTTCCCTCCTGGTGTGGGCGGGGTGACATGCCCACACAGATCAACATGCACCAACTCGAGCACCTCGGATGCGCGATACGCCGAAGCCTTCGGGAAGGGCGTGCGATGCTGCTTGCCCAACGCGCATCCGTCACAGACTTGCTCGACACGCCGTATTATCGGCATGCCCACAACCATCTCCCTAGCACTGAGCTCGCGTAGAGACCTAAAATTCAAGTGTCCATACCGAGCGTGCCAGAGCCATGCGACGTCGTTCATCTTTGACACCAAGCATACAGGTGTCGTCAGCTTCACCTTCATGATGTAGAGCCGATTCTTGCGTTCTGCCTTGATCAACACACCTCGGTCTTGGATCCCTTGCCGAGGGCGCTCGAACACCTTCATGATGCCATGTTCGATCTTGACACGGCACCCTCCTTCCTCCAGCTGACCGAGACTGATGATATTACACTTCAAGGACGGGATATAATACACCTCAGAGAGCACGCGATGATCCTGGTTTCTGCCGACGATCGTCACCGCCCCGATCCCGTAGATTTCAACCTTGGACCCATCACCAAATCTGACTGCTCCCTTAACCGTCTCGTCAAGGCTGGCTAGTGCAGCCCTACATCCCGTCATATGGTTCATCGCTCCAGTGTCCAGCACCCACGACCCTTCCTCATAATCTGACGGGATCACGCATTCTTGATTCAAGAACACATGGGGAGACGTCACATTGGTGGTTCACACCAGGTTACAAACCTGTGCGATAAGAAGTGCCGGCTGTGCTTCAGTGTCGGCATTGGCATGATGGACTGCCTCTGTCACCTCCTTGCCTGCCTTCTTGCATTCTCTGGCCCAATGGCCATAAACTTTACACTTGTTGCAACGTCCCTTGCGTCGTGGCATGCCCGAGGACGTGCCTTCCTTGCCACTGGAGTCACGAGAGTCACGGTTTCCACCGTTGTTGCCTCCTCGCCCCCCCGAACTTGTTCTTCTTGGCATACTGGCTATTACCGCCACCCTTGCCTCCTGATGATGACGAATCTGTCACCATCCGAGCCTTGTGCTTCGCCGCCCAATCTTCCTCCATCATCATGAGTTGCCCTTGCTTGTTGGTCACTTCCTCCACGATGGGCTCAAACCGATCTTCTGCTGCACGCAAACGACTGACTAATTCTTCCACCGACAAGGTCTTGAGATCACAAAACATCTCAATCGTGACTGCAACTTGATTATAACGTGGTGGCACAACTCTGAGGAATTTCTTCACGACACGAGCATCATCAACACTCGTCTCCCCTAGGCCTTTGAGATCGGTTGCAATTTTACCAATTCTCACTGCGAAGTCTTCAATTGTCTCGCCCGATTTGAACGAGATTGCTTCAAACTCTATTAGCAGTTTCTATGCATTCACCTCTTTCACCCTATCTGCACCCAGACACATCGACTTGATCGCCTCCCAGGCCTCCTTGGCTGACTTCTTGTTCAGCAACATTGAGTGCATCTCAGGAGGGACACCACGGATCATGGCGCCCAGAGCGAGCCGATCTCGACGTCGCTCGACCTTGTTAGATTCAACTGCGTCCCATAAGTACATAGCTTCGAGATTGCATTGCACATGAGCCGACCACTCTTGGTAATTGGATCGGGTTAGCATCGGCCATACCAGGTTTCCAGACGCCTGATTCCATGCCCTCTCCATCAGCTCTTCCTTCTTTTCACCGCTGTTGCCCATGGCGGTTGATGGCGTTCACGACTTCTTCTTCTTCTTCTTCGGATGCGGTGGACCAACCACCAAACGAACTCTCCTCCTTCTCCTCTTGGACGAACACCGCTCCTCCGACGACCTCTCGGCTCCGATACCACTTGATGGAACCGATAGTTGTTCCCAGGCCTGAACGTGAACACCGGTGACGACACGGTGACCGCGGCAAGAGCAAGATCTAGAGCAGATCGAATGAACTCGCGAGAAGACAGAGTATTATGTCGCTGCCCGGAACACAGCTTGCCTGGTCTCTATATTCATGTATATATAGTGTCTAGATACAGACCTGGGTACATACGACCCACCCCGCGTCATCCGAACAAAGTGCACCGCGCCGTTGCTCAGCGGTACGCGCCGTGTATGCCGTGGACGGCATGACGCGGGTCGACCATGGACTCTGGGCCTAATCTGATCTTGTACACCTAAGAATCAGATCCACCCACTATCCTAGCTAATGCATATCTTAACTAACTAAGAAACAAAAGATTACATGATATCTTGTGCGATAGTTTGGCTAACACCGACAGCTCGAGGAGCGCGTTATGGAGGCGCCTCACGCGTGGCCGGCCGCCGATGTCTCGCTCGTGGGTCCGCGATGGCTCGAGCAGGGCGGCTCGGTGGCTGCTCGCGCACAGGAGCGCGACAGCTCGAATAGTGCGGCCCGACGGCGACTCGCATTGTGCCGCTCATGGGTCTGCTCCTTGCCACGGCTCCAGCAAATGCCCCCTGGGCCGCGGAGTCGGGGGCCGATCGGATCGAGCTCCCAGAGTCGGGCGCTGGCGTCATCACAGACGACTGGGCGCATGTTCTTCTAGGGGGCGGAGGTGGCGGCCATCCGTGGCGTGCTCGACTGCCTGCATCCACGTCAGGCTCGAGCCCCTGGACCACACCGATGCCACGCAGCGAAGGCCCTCGTTGGGGTGCCGCGAGGGCACCATCGTCGTGCACGAGATCCAGGACTGCCACGACGCAGAGCGTAGCCTCCTAGAGCTCCACCACGCCGGCATGCGCCATCTTCTCACCGTCTTGTCCGTGGCCACCGTGTGGCAGGTGCCGCAGTTCGTGCTGGTGATAGGCTCCGACGTCTTCTGCGAGATCACGCAGCTGGAGTTCTTCTACGGGGAGGCCCCCGTCGTGATGCGCATCATCTGCTCGCCCTTCTCCTTCCTGGCGCTGCCACATAGGCAAAACGAGCGCCACTTAGGCAAAACCAGGTATCCAAAACCGCCCAAAACCGCCCTGGAGGTAAAATGACTGATTTTACAAAATTTAATGTGTTGATACCCGATTTTATAGGTTGGGGTTAAGTAGACCACACACGTTACGTTAGGGGTTGTTTAGACTTTTTTCATTCTTTTTAGTACACCTAAAACAATTGCACGATTTAGTTCGCGTAGCCTTGAATCTCCATCAGCCTTGGCTACCTCAGCAAGCAGTTACAGCTTATAATACAAGGTGTTGGTACTAACAAGAAACTACTCTGAATCACTACACTGCTCAGTCTCTAAATTGGTGCAGTTACATTCTTGTAGGGAAGAACGGTGTAGTAGATCTAAAATAAGTGCTCGCTCTATTCTAAATTATAAGTTGTTTTAACAACGTTCGGAGGGTACAGATGGGTACTGTAGCACGACGGATTTTAGATGATTAAATAGTATTATGTAAGAGAGAATAAGATACAACAAGCTGGAACATGACCGAACGCCCTGTATGTAGAAAAGACAAAATGATTTATACGGTGGAACAGAGCGTAACAGTTAACGCTTGAATCCATAATAATTGAAGTCAGTAGCGCATGGATCCAGGCTAATTAAGACCACTGCCGTCCAAAGTCCTTGCAAGGCGACATGTCTTTTTTGTTCATTTCTGCATAATGACACGAAGTTGGTGCATCCGCCGATATATGGTATCTTGCGTTGTGCAATAGTTTGTGACCCAGTGAGATCCTGCCATTCTGGCTAACTAAAGCATATCTACTGTATAATATATATATGGACGGTGCCGCTTGGAACAGTTTCTTTCTGCACAATGTTCCTACCACAATATGTCATGACTGGTAAGCGCATCGTTCCTACCTTTCCTTTACACCGCTCTTCCGGATTACAGTTGCAGCATTTGTTCATGTCCTCAAATAACTCTCTTCATGTTTAATATAAAGGTGTCTCTTCAATTTTTTAATTACTCCATTTTTACTGTGGATTACAGTTCGCTGAAAATAAATGGAAATTCATTATAAATCATGCAAGCTGTAGCAAAAAAAGGGCTCATTCTGATTGCAACTACTACCAGTTCGCAACAGTTTGTGCTCATGCGCAGTTTCTAAATAGTCGCTGAACTTTTACATTTGCAGTTCAATAGAAAAACATATGGGATAAACAATAAAATTCACTACACCATAAAAGATATTGTCACCTTCTTGCATAGATGCTTAATTTACCTGTTGCCTGACATTTATCATGTGCTAACTATGCAAGTTGTACAAAATATAGGCCTTTGGGGTTTATGCAAGTTGATACCTTCTTACTGTCCACTGGGTTTCTCCAGCTGCATTTTGGTATGTGACAGGAAGACAAGGTACCTACCTAGCTAACTTCTGTGACTGAAGGTGACTCTTCATTTTCGCTTAATTACTCTATTTTTTCTTGTTCATTAAACTGGTGCCTCAAAAACACAAGAAAAAAAATACCTCTCCTACACCTTGCCTGCTTGGGATCACTGCAGTTTGTTCATCCCCATAATAGTTTCAGAATGTCGTCTAACCGCTACTAGTAAATTTGCATTGCATTCTCTTGACCTAGAAACATCGAATCAGCTAGAAAGTCATAGGTTGTGTCAAAATCATTCCATGACTCTGTATTATGGTGAACTATTACAGCATAGTGTCATGTTTCTTAAAGAGTTAAATGCACCAGAGATTCATTAACTTTTGTGGAGATTTCAGTTGGGTCCATCAACTTTCAAAATGACTTTTTAGATCATAAACTTTTAAAATAGTTCACTACAATCTCTATCTATTTATTTAACCTTAAATTTAAAGCACATATGTAGAAAACCCTTCCCACACCACGTCACGTACGCGGACGGCTCCGTGGCGCCCGCCGTCGCTGCTGCGGGCGCGCTGGCCAGGCCCATGCCGGGGCAAGCGCGGCGGCCGCTCCCGAACGGCATGAGCTGCATGTGCTGCCCCTTGGGGTCGACGCCGGCCCCCGCGCCGCCGGGCATGAAGCGCTCGGGCAGAAACTGGAGCGGCTCCTCCCAGCACCACGGCATCCAGCTCCGCGCGCAGCTTCTCCATGCAGTCCGGGTGGTTGAGCGCCAGCGCCAGCGCCCACTCCACGCTGGTGGCCGTGGTGTCGGAGCCGGCCGTGAAGATGTCCAGCACGAACGCCTTGATGTTCTCCCTGGTCAGCTTCACCTCGGCGTTCACGTCCTCCGCCGCGTCCATGAGGATGTCCAGCAGGTCCTTGCTGTTGTTGTCGGCGGTGGTGGTCTGCCCCAGCCCATGCTGCCGTCTCCGGTTCTCCTCCTTGCCCGTGATCATGATCTCCAGCAGCGCGTCGAACTTGTCCCGCACCTCGCGCGTCCTCCGCGTGAGCCCCTGCAGGTCCCATCCCCGGCAGAGCCCCACGTAGTCCTCGACGTTGAAGGCCCCCACGAGCTCGGCGACGTGCTTGGCGCAGTGCCTGGCCGCCTCCGTCATGTGGCCCGGCAGCGCGCTGGCCACCATGCGCATGATGGTGTTGTTGGACATGCTGATGAGGTGGCGGCTAACGTCGATGGCCAGGCCAGCACCAGTTCGGTTGCCCCGCCGCGCTTTCTTCGCGTCGGCGCGTGGTCCCAGTCCGGGTGGCGCAGCCGGCAGAGTACGACGGCAAGGAGGTAGGTGTCCGGTGGTGAGGTTCGGCACCAGCTCCTGGTTGGCGTCGCGGGCGGTCTGCGGCGGCGTTCGGGGCCTGCGAGGCTGAGGAAGATGGCGCGGCGTCGTGGGCACATCCGAAGTCGCCGCGGCCAGTGTTGGAGTAGGCGTCTGCGAAAACGGCGGTGTGGTTCGGGGTAGGCATGGAGGTCGGCGATCGGAGCTCGGCTGTTCGGTAGTGTCCGCGCTGCGGCGTCACGGGGCGCAGACGTCGGGACGGACCATCGCCGTGGTTTTCGGCCGCGTGGTTGCCGCCGTCCCGTGCGCCGCGCGCACGGCTCACGCCCGCACCATGACGGCCGGCGCCGTCAGTGCGCGCTTAAGGAGACCCCGCACCACCCGGACTGCATGGAGAAGCTGCGCGCTTAAGTAGGCATACTTGATGTCAAACTGCATGTCGTACCAGTAGTTCACGGCAATGGTGAGCCCGTTCGGCCCTGGGCTCTGGCTGACATGGTGAAACCACATGCTTGGCAGGTAGAGCATCTCGCCGGCCCGGACCGTGCACCGTATCGGCGCCGGCCCGTCGAAGTAGAGCGGAAACGACGACGCCTGCACGGCCATCTCCTCCGGCGACGGAGGGCACGGGTCAACGCTGCTCCACGGCACGATCCTCTCGGGCTCTTCCATCTCCAGCTTAAGCCTCAACTGATGCTCCCCTTCGGTATCCTGCTCCGCGGCAACGTAGTGGGCGGCGGGGTAGTCGCGGAAGTAGAGGCGGTGGTGCTCGGTCGGTGGCAGCAGGAGGAAGTGCTTCTCGCCGGAGAGGACGACGTAAATGTTGTCGTAGTGGTCCTTGTGGAAGGAGGTGACGGAGTGGGCGTTGCCGATCCAGAGGTTGACGGCCTCGGGGAGGCAGCCGAGCGCCTCACTGGCCCAGGGCACGTGCGCATCCACGTCACCGGCGACCGCCGCGTACTCCCCGCGGAGGCAATCGTCCTGCTGCTGCGCGTACGCTACCAGGCCGGCGGCCGGGTCGGATCCCCTGATGAGCCGGACCGCGGTAGGGAAGTCGACGCGGTGGACGTGCGCAGACGCAAAGCACCTCGAGGGTCCGGGGCGCCGTGGGTGCGGGTGCGAGGCAAGCGCGTCGGCTCGGCCGTCGGGGGTGAGGTGGAGGGAGACGGCGGTGGAGCGGAGCGCGTCGGTGAGGTAGGAGGCGGTGGGCCAGAGCGATGCAGCGGGCCAGTGGCGGGTGGCCGCGGCGGAGACCAGGAGCGGGCGGCCCGGGGAGACGTGGTCGCGGAGGAACGCGAGCGGCGTCGGGGGCAGGTCGACGCGCGGCACGGCGGCGGCGGCGGTGTCGTCCAGAGAAGGGGAAGGGAGGCCCAGCAGGTCCCGGGATTCCTCCCACAGCTCGCGCAGCGCGGGCTCCACAGCGCGCGTTCGTGCTGGACATCTTCACGGCCGGCTCCGACACCACGGCCACCAGCGTGGAGTGGGCGCTGGCGCTGGCGCTCAACCACCCGGACTGCATGGAGAAGCTGCGCGCGGAGCTGGACGCCGTGGTGCTGGGAGGAGCCGCTCCAGTTTCTGCCCGAGCGCTTCATGCCCGGCGGCGCGGGGGCCGGCGTCGACCCCAAGGGGCAGCACATGCAGCTCATGCCGTTCGGGAGCGGCCGCCGCGCCTGCCCCGGCATGGGCCTGGCCAGCGCGCCCGCAGCAGCGACGGCGGGCGCCATGGAGCCGTCCGCGTACGTGACGTGGTGCGGGAAGGGGTTTTCTACAAATATGCTTTGAATTTAAGGTTAAATAAATAGGTATGGACTGCAGTGAATCATTTTAAAAGTTTACGGACTAAAAAGCCACTTTGAAAGTTGATGGACCCAACTGAAACCTCCACACAAGTTAATAGATCTCTGGTACATTTAACTCTTTCTTGAATAAAAACTCATCGATGGGAAAAACACATGGTCTGCCTTGCTCACATTTCTTGAAAACTTTACTGCATTCTAATGTATCACTGAATTCATGTTGGCTATTGACATTTTCCATTGATCATGCTCTATACTCATCGTGCCTTATTTCTTTGCAAGCAATGATCCTTATAGTGCTTGAAAGGTCATACATTTGCATAGTAGTCATGTACTGCCAAATATTTAGCTAATAGTTTTGTTTCTGTTCCCAAATACAGGTGCTTTTTAACCTTGAGGTATTTATTTTGACACACTAATATACACGGCATGAAACTGGTATTTATCGTGCTTTCAATTTTATACTAAATCTTAGTTTGTGACATGCTCCCTCATCACATGGACTGCAGACAGGTTCGGCTAAGCATGGAACAACTCTTTTTATCTTCCTCTGTATTGTTTGGGAAGTGCAAACATGATTTATTGAAATTATTCAATTTCTAACTTTATTTAATATGTGCCATATGTGCAGGGTGAGGGTATTGGTTACCTCTCCTAGACCTTGCCTACTTGGGATCACTGCAGTTTGTTCAGCCATAGTAGTTTCAGAATGTCTTTTAACTGCTACTCTGTTTTCCCTAAATGAACATTTAGTGTGTGCTGATAACCTCTTTTGTGCTCATGTGTTTATTAGTGTCTTTACCTCTGCCCATTACAAGTAATCACAGATGCATAAACTCTTTCCCTTATTATTATTTAGACACCTCCACCTCAAATCGACATTGGACAAACCCTGACAAAGCATTTTTCCTCTGGGTAAGTTACTTTTGCAGATAATACCGAGATAGAGCATTATTATTTAAACTGAAACACACTCAGTTATTCCCCCATCTTCGCTTTGCACTCAGATTCAGATCTTGTAGCCAGCCCACCAACAAACACAAGAGCTACTTGCACGAAGCTATTCCACAAAAAAAAAAGACGCTAACCTGGTACACTATCGCTACATACTTACTTGGTCAATTGACAGGGTGTTTTAGTGCTATATATGTGAGGTTTCAATGATTCATGAGGACTCATATTGTCATTTATTTTACAGTGTCGCTTCGAACAACAAACATTTCCTCGATTGAATGTTGCTTGGGTAAACCCATTATTCACAACCTATGTTTATGTTCCTAGCATTAGGTCTGTCACTTACACACATTCTTTGTTTAGATACCTCCTTCGATGTCTATAGCACATTTCTTGAGAAAGACGCTCCCTGTTTTTCTCCGCCATGTACCTACAGAAATCAGGCAATTCATGTTGCCTACTCTGCACATGCCAAATCAAAGGGAACAATGAACTCTAACGTCTCAAATAAATTTTGTATTCTGCGTTGTACTATGGTCATGCTACCTTACATTATCTACCTGTTTCCATGGCTGCACCTGTTGTTTCAGACTGATTTGCAGCAGCCATATTATAGACATGTTTAAAAGTATTAATTATCCGCACGCTCTGCGAGTGTTCACTTATTTAGTTTGTCTTCGGGATTCCCAACGGAAACGGATTGATGTGTTCCATTGTCTACTGTTGCCATTTCATTATTCTCTACTGTAGGTTCCTAGGTTGGTGTGTTCCAAAGTCCAAAGCTTAAATATTTAGTTCCTAGGTCTTATGATAGAAAAAAAGCTGAGCTGATAACTGGGATTTTAATGGCGCAGTTTACAAAATGGTTAGGTGGTATGGTCATTTTATGTTACTCTAAGCCCTTGTTTGGATGTTGTCAGATTCACCTCAATCCACGTGTGTTGAGATGGATCGGGTTGGAATTTACTTCAAATTCTACTCCAGTCCCCCACCCATGTGGATTCATGCGAATCCGAATATATCCAAACAAGGCTTAAAAGGATACCCTGTGACATATAGGCTATAGCCATGTGAGAGCTAGGGTTCTGCTGCTCTGTTCATTACTGTAGGTTCTAGAGTTATCAGTTATCACTTGCTTTGACATAATTGTTCGTTTTTTTCTGTCAGAGTCCACATAAACTCCATATCTATTCAGATGCTAGAGAAGTGAATCATCATTACCTGGATCGTTTGGATCACTTAGCCTCAAGGTTTCAGGAACTATGAAGGTAAAAAAAATATATGCTTTACATTTAATTTTTTATTATTCACCTTGCTCTATTTTGGTATGACGATCAAATTTTAATCTGATTATTTGTAGAGTTCCTGAGATCTATCATACTAAATAAACCAATTTGCTGATTTTCAACCATGTTGCCATGTTGAAAAATGTACTCTTTACATGTATTTTCTCCTTTGAATTCTTTCAGTCCACCACCGGCTAGGTTTCACAAAATGATTTAAGTTGCTCATGATGCTCTTATTTTTTTTACCTAACCAGAGTGGAATAATATATTGAAACAATGAAGCTTCCAATTTGGCTCGGTGCTCAAGTAGTACAGTTCATTCAGACACAACCGAAGCATTTTGGTATGTATATGATACCAACCATTGTTATCTTCCAAAATTATAGACTTATAGTCTTATTACATCGACACAGATGATGCATGCACTTTGGTCCACACTGTTCAAGTTTTGGCCTGGGCTCTTAGCATCTCCAATCATTCTTGGATTTAACTCTACAAATTAAAAGTGCTGCTCGGCCAGAAGCAGCAGCCATGTCGCCCCCAACTGTCTCCTCTGTCCGAACTGTCTTCACACTTGATTAAATTGATCTATAGACTACAAAATTGTGTGATTATACATACAAAATTATTGCAGTGAATAGCAAGGTTGGAATTTTCCTTCAGTCACCCTTACTTTCGGTGGCCTATAGACTACAAAATTACGCAATTATACATACAAGATTTTCACCGGCAATGTCTGTTAGTTTACCTCAATGGCTCCTCATGATGACTAACCTAACAAATGCTTGTAACAGCTGTGCATGTACCTTGTTTTCCCCCCGTACAATTAGCACATGCAGTTTAATTGTTTCCTATCTATGTTTGCCTCACTGAATATGCTGCTTACTATATCAGGCAATGCCGATCCGCACCACATCCGCCTCACCATTTTGCAGCAGCGAAACCATTGTGGTCGCCATCAATAAGATCATCGTTGTACATTTACTATGGAACTCTTAAAAACCTTAAGGCCCCGTTCGGTTCCTAGGGATTGACCCCCGGGAACCATTCCCGGCCGAGTTTCCTTCAACAATTTGAATAGCATCGGAACCGTTCCGGCCAGGAACGGCCCGGAACAGCGATAACCGAACAGGCCCTAAAGGGCTTCAGACTACCACTGGAAAAGGATCCCTCCTGCTCTGGAAAAATATTTCCCTTGTTAACCTGTGTATGTAGCACCATCCACTGTACCTCTTTGTATGCATAACTGTGCCTTGCACCCTGCAACGGAACCCAACTTTTATCTGCTACGTTTGGCATGTTATGACTACCGGCTTACCAGTCCAACAAAATATACATCCATTGCCTATGCGATGTATTATTCCTTCCACCCACACTACATCTATATGATCTTAAAACAAAGACGACAGCAACTTCTCCAGGACAGCTCTTGTTCATATGCGTTTGAGATGACGTCCATCCTTGTGGGCAACACTTATCAGCGATAATATATAGTAGCTATTAACCACCGCGCTATTTATGCTTCAAATATGTGGCTGCGTATAAGCGCGATGGCGCACGCCCTTCACTAGTTTCCAAAGAGGAGCTACCGACAGTTCTGTAAAAGTTGCCAAATAGCCCTACCAAACTTCTTGTCCAGAACTCCAGATTCCACAAAAGATATGGTATCATTTAGCCCTTGTTTAGTTCCCACACTAAAATTTTACACCCTATCACATAGAATGTTTGAACAAATGCATGGAATATTAAATATAGACTAAAAAATAACTAATTGCACAGTTTGCGACTAATTTGCGAGACGAATTTTTTAAGCCTAATTAGTCCATAATGTGACAATAAAGTGCTATAGTAACATATGTGCTAATGATGGATTAATTAGGCTTAATAAATTCGTCTCGTGGTTTACTGACGGATTCTATAATTTGTTTTTTTATTAGTATCCAAACATCTCATACGACACTCCATATAATATTCGATGTGATACCCTCGAAACTTTATAGCATGGATCTAAACGAGGCCTTAGACCGACTGTGTTCTTCTGTCCTTGAAAACCTTTGTTGTCGCTTTCACGACAAGTTATTCTTTTCTCTCTGAAAAGTCGATTTCACAACAAGTCTCAGTCATGGAAATAAATTTAAGAACAAACACGAGAAATTCAGGCAGATCCAAAAAGTTTGTGTGTAGTGCCTGTATTGGCCCATCAGATAAGTCCACGATCATCGTTTTTAATATGACATATTGCAAGTTCCCAGCAAAATGATATGGTATTTTCTTATGCTATTGACCAAAGCACATTGCAACCAGCCACAAGAATTAATAAATGCTTCATCATTTGCTCAAGCAGAATCATCTTTTTGGATTTGTCTGCCTTAAGTTATAGCCCATTATACCAACCACAGGAATAACGCCATGCATCCCTGTTTCTCAAAACAGGCATCTTCTGTAACTCTTGCCGATTCCCGAATATTGTCATTTTGCTGCATTTCACAACTGACATTGTTGTTGTGTTACATTGACACCGTGCTGCCTGAAGTAAGGCTGCCGTTATGAAATTATGTTTATCTAGAACAGTTGACGTGCAGAAAAATATTTCAGTGTACTCGAGTTGTACAAAATACAAAATAGAGCTCAATTAGGCATTTAGAAATGATTAGGTCAGCCGACTAATTAATTTGATAAATCATCTAT